ATAATCATCAAAAACTTCAACCTACAAATTTGGTCTAAACTTCCCTTCCCTAGGTCCTTACCTCTCACCCTCAACCTGCACAAAAACAAACTCAAAATGGATCAAAGATCAGTCAACAAATGCATAAAAAAAATGTTCAACGTCACTAGTAATTAGGGAAATGCAAATCAAAACTACTTAAATATTTCATCTCACTCCGGTCAGAATGGCAATTATCAAGAATACAAAGCAACAGTAAGTGCTGGTGAAGATGTGAGGAAAAAGGTGCACTCATACATTGCTGGTGGCACTGCAAATTGGTGCAACCACTCTGGAAAGCAGTATGGAGATTCCTTGGAAAACTTGGAATAGAAACACCATTTAACCCAGCCATCCCACTTCCTCAGTCTATACCCAAAGGACTTAAAATCAGCATACTATGGTGAAACAGTCATATCAATGTTCATAGCAGCTCAATTCACAATAACTAAATGTGGAAGCAACCTAGATGCCCTTCAATAGATGAATGGATAAAGAAATTGTGGTATATATACACAATGGAATATTATTAAGTATTAAAAGAGAATAAAATTATGGCATTTGCAGGTAAATGGATGGAGTTGGAGAATATCATGCTAAGCCAAGAAGGGCAATCCCCCAAAACTAAAGGCTTAATCTTCTCTCTGATAAATGGATGCTAATCCATAATGGGGGGGCATGGGAAAAAATGGAAGAACTTTGATTGGACAAAGGGGAAGGAAAGGAGAGAAGTGGGCATGGGAGCAGGAAAGATGGTGGAATGAGATAGACATCATTACCCTATGTACATGTATGACTGCACATATAGTGCAACACCCCATCATGTACAACCAGAAAAATGAAAAGCTGTGCTCCATTTGTGTACAATGAATCAAAATGCATTCTTCTGTCATATAGACCTAATTAAAATAAATAAATAAATCATTTAAATAATAATAATAATAATAAAGGAAGCATTACAAGACATTAAGAAATAGATCAAAAAAAAATCAAAGACCCAGGAATTGGATCAGAAACTATGCAACACTTATAAGAAAATATAGGGTCAACACTCCAACATAAAGGTGCAGGTAACAACTTCATCAATAGGACTCTTAAAGCTCAAGAAATAATATATTGGAAATACAAAAGAAAGCTTATTAACAAATGAGGTAGCATGAAATTAAAAAGCCACAGTAAAGTAAACAAGAATGTGCAGAACCTTCAGAATGGGAGAAAATCTTTGCCAGCTACTCTTCCAACAGAGGATTTATATCAAGAGTATATAAAAAAACTAAAAAAAAAAACACCATAAAACAAATATCCCAATTAATAAATAGGCAAATGAACTAAGCAGACACTTCTCAAAAGAAGAAATGCAAATGACCAACAAATATATAAAAGATGTTCAACATCTTTAGTATTAAGGAAACGCAAATCAAAACTACACTGAGATTTCATCTCACTCCTATTAGAATGGCAGTAATCAAGAATACAAACAATAAAAAATGCTGGAGAGAATATGAACACTGTTGGTGAGATTGTAAATTATAGCAACCACTATAGAAATCAGTTTGGAGGTTCCTGGAAAGTCCAGGAAAGGAACCATCATATGACTCAATTATACCACTCCTTGGTATTTGTCCTAAAGAATTAAAGTTATCATACTATAGCAATACATGCATACCCATGTTTACATTGATATAATTCACAATAGCCAAACTATAGAACAGCCTAGATATCTGTCAACTGATGAATGGATAGGGAAAATATTATATATATATATATAATGTTTTATTTAGTGACAGAGAAACATAAAATTATGTCTATTTGCAGAGAAATAGACAAACCTGAGAATATTATGTTAAGCAAGATAAACCAAACTCATAAACAAGGGCTGTATGCTTTCTTTATGTGGAAACTAAAGAGGAAAAAGGAAAATAAAAGGGCAGGAGTGGTGGGAGTCCTATGAAAAGTGAAGGGAGACCAGTAGAGTAGAGGAAGGCGACCTTGGGGAAGGAGGAGGGATGGAGAAGGGGAAATATTGGAGAAGTATATTGACCAAATTGTTATATTGTGTCCATTTATATATCCAATAATAAATCCTACCATTATATATAATTATAATGCACCAATAAAAAATTAAATTTTTAAAAAACTGTCCCTAGCTTCTCCAAGGCAGTTTAGAACTAATGAGATATCCCTGGAATTGGACTCACAAACTCCAGACTGGTTTTCTGCCCTCCAATATCATTTTACAGATAAAACTGCCAAAAAATTATATTATAACCTCAGTAGAATGACAGAAGCCATATAATTTGTATAAAATTCACAATCTTTGATGGCTTCTAGTGACCTGCAACTGATACCTAATAATTATTTGTGGCCTCAAAAGCTGTGTCACTATCTCTTTGCAGATACCATGAATCCAGGGGCTTAAATGAGGGGGAAAGATTTAACATTAGATTAGTGTGCAAGCAGAGGTAAATTAAGAACACAGTAGCTTCTCATGGGTCTTTTTTAACAAGATAAGTAAGAGAGGGGGTGAGGGGACAGGAAAACAAGAAACAAGTGATGGGGAGACAATTAACTTTCAAATCTAAGAAAAATATCCTAACTTCTAAATAGAGGCCTGTTTTCCTAAAGAAGAAACAAAGATGAGATGAAGGAGGAAATAAAATTATGCTTTGTCCATAATGTTATCTCAGTTATTCATCTCAACAACACCAGGTGGTAGTCGCTATTATTCCCACTTTCACAATTAAAAAGTCGAGGTTTGAAGATGTGACGATCTGCCTAATATTATATAATGAAATGGTGGAAAAATTATTATTCTAACCCAGTCTTGCTTATCCCAACATTGATCTTATTTCATATATATATAGGCTAATGGCTGAAAGAAAAACTGAAAGCTCTGTTGAGGCTGTTTCTCAAAGCCCATCGATGACCTCACTCAAGAGTTCTCATGAATGCCTTCTCATAATCCACATGCCAGGATCCCTATAGATCCCTTTCATGCATCTCATCTCTGACATACTACTCAGGCTCTATGGGAGCTTTCTAAGTGAATGTGCTGCATGATTTTCTCTTCCTGTTTCACTTAAGCAAGAGAAGGGATCTGAAAGCACATGGATTCATTTTTCATGGCCATTATTCTCAGCAACCAACTATGACTCTTGATTGCCTCACCACTTAAGAGCAATAACCTGTCCAGATAAATTCAGTGACTGGTGGCAAAGTTACTACACATCTATGTTTCCTGACATATTTTTTTTCCTTTCATCCTGTTCTTTTCATGTTAGGAAAAGAGGAAAAAAAAGCTTCTTGTTCAGAGGTCTTTCCAAATATAAATATAACAAGCCATTATTCTCTAGGCAGGATTAAAAGAAGTTGCTCTTTGCTGGAATCCTTTGCCATATGCTGTTACTACACCATATTGTTCCTGTCTCTTCTGCCCACCCTTTGACCATTAACCATTCTTCATTATTTACCTTAGTGTGGTTTGATTGTAATGGAATATTTTGTAGTGTTTTTCATCTATTTCTTTCCTCTTCATTTTTTGCCATGTTCTTTTGGCAAGCATTTACTGAACATCTACTGTGTGTCAAGTTCTGTGCCAGCAGCTGATTCTCATCATTTCACTTCTGACAATCATAATTACTTCCAAATGGATCTCCCTGCTTCAAGTTTTTCCTTGAATTCACCTAATTCAGCCTGTTGCCAAACCATTCTTTATAAAGCTCTGCTTTAACAAACAGCACATCTACCCATTTCTTCACAGGATTAAGTCCCTATATATTAGCTCTTTTCTTTATGCCCTCTGGATACTTCTTAGACTTTGTTTTTTTTTTTTTCTTCTTTCACATACATTCTGTAGTTTAGTATATTCTACTCATTCGCCCCCTAGCATGCCATATGTATTTCCACCACTGTGACTTAGAGCTCTTTTAAAAAATTTCCAAATCCTATTCCATATTCACTTACTATGTGGTTTGGAGCAAACTCCATTCCTGGGGTGGCAAAGGTTCCTTAACTAATAGGTTTTAGTTAAGGAGGAGAACTGACCTAATCTCATCTCTAAGAGGAGGCTAAATGTCCTAGAGTTAGGAATGAGAAACAATGCTAACCACATCTGTTCAGCAATGTCCAACTACATGAGGAACTTCAGGCCCTTAAACCACAGTATGGCTGGATAATGAGTTTCTTAAGCAACCTCGCTAAAGTCCCAGAATGAGAGATCCAATCAACTCTTCCATTCACTCAATCAACAAAACAGTTTTTGTGCATCACCTATATACTAGGCATTGTGATGAGTACTTGAGAACAAGAATGAGTAAGAGAAATAGATTTCTGCCCTCATAAGAATTTTAGCCTTATAGCATATAAACAAGTGCCATGAGTAAATAAGATAATAAAAATATGGGTGTTAAGAAGAGAAATAAAGTGTTATAATGCACCAGAGTAAGATGTGCTACTGGAAGTAGGAGGTACTATCAGTCAAAGGTCTCTTTATGAAAAATAAAAGTGACATTCCAGACTCCTGAATAGCAAGTACACAGGCTCAACACACATGCACATATACACACATGCACTTACACACACACACACACACACACACACATCAACGCCAATGCAGGCTGATAACTTCAATGGCTTGGGTCTTATGTGTATTTTACTTGCCCACTGGGGACATGCATCCAGCTCATGCAATCATAACCAAAACAGCTTCCCTTTTGAGTATACACATAGTTTATGGTTTTAGTTATAGTTAAAATTTTTAGTTTGTGGATCTCTCAGTGACAAAGATTTAAATCCTACCTACATATTTTTTTCTACTTTGCTAGCAAAGTTATTTATTTCCAACTTAAATACATAATATTTCTAAAATACAATATAGCACTCTAGTGATACTCATAACTCTGCATATTAAAAATAACTGCCTTTTACTTTTTCAAGATGGTATATAACAGCTCTCAACAAAATCTAGAAAATGCTTTCCTTACCTCGTTGATTAACTGGGTCTTTAGCTACATAGGCAACATAGTCTGTAGTATCCTATAAAAAAGGGGGGAAAAGATTACATTTTAATGGGAAACATTTTTTTAAGAAATAATTTTTTTATTTTAGAGAAAAATAGATATAATAGCCTATTATTGTATAGATTATAGATTGATTTTAGGCATGTACTGTATGTGGAAAGGAAAAGAATATTGGACAATATAAGCAATTTGACATATATATATATACAACATGAAGAAAAATGGACAAAATATATTCAAAGAAAAAAAGCTATTAAATTGTATGTCCTCTTCTATATCATGTGAAGAACACCATAACAGTTTTTCTACTTTATTTAAATGATATGCTGCATACATATATTTGAAGTGCCTGCACATCTAGATATAACTGCATCTGGACTCAACTTTTAGCTCATTGTTTATGGTTACATAAGGCCCATCATTAAACTTCAAAGTTCAACAGTGAAAAAAAAAGGATTACATTTTAAGTTAATGAATTGTACCATCAAAAGATAAGAGTACATTTAGGACATGATACTGAAGCAAGGACTTAAATATGAATGTTTTTTATTTCAAGAAAAAAAAGCATTGCAGGAGTGACTACAATATATACTACACAATTTAACAATTATGGAGCCCATATTCTCTGTCCCTTGGGGAAAGAACTTGAAGATTAAAAATTTAGAGGCAGATTATGTCATTAAGAATAAAAAAAGAATTCAGATAGGTGTTATGTTAGGACATATTCATTGAAAATATCTGGGTGCTATAACTCCTGTGTTGAAAATTGAAATATTAGGGATTATTCAATCACAAAGGTGTCATAAATGAGGATGTAGCATTGTGATTTCTCTGTTGTCCAAATAGATATGATGTACATCAGAAAATAAACAGATTAAAAGACATGTTGAGTTTTGTGTCTGTTAGCTTGCATGTATGCAGCTAACACTTAAGGAATAATAAAACAAGAATACAATATATTTATTTGATCAATACATAGACAAAAATCTTTTTTAAAAAAAGAGAACGCATGAAAAACTTAAGTTCAAAAAGACATGTGCTACCAACTGTAAAAATAAACACACAGAAAAAGCTACTTCACAATTCCAGCTTTTACTGAAAACAGTAACCTGATGAATGGTAAGATTTTAATAATTAAAGATGCTTTTTGTTATCTCTATTCTTGGAAAAAAAATACGTACAATGCCCTTTGCAGATTAAAAGTATGACTCTCTAGAGGAAAGATGCAATCAACTGGCAGGAAATAAAAATCCATGTTTGTAATGCCCTCAAGGACAATCACTTAATAACTCACAGTGATTCATACAGGAAGTAGATAGCAGGGTCAGCATAACTCGTCTTGGGTTATTTTTAAAAATAACATACACCTAAATAAATTTCTCATGCAAAAAGAAAAAAAATATTTGAAATATATTCTAAGTAAATGAGGTTGTATATATGAGCTTTGTTTTATATTAACTTAGAAGAATAAAAACTGCTGAAGACACTCTCATTAAGTTGAAGAAATGGCACGATGCCAGCAATGTTGTCTGGTGCAATTGATGGGAAAGAGGTCATGGGACCTCTCCAGACCTCAGTTTTCCTCATCTTCAAAACAGTCCTCAACATTGTAATAACTTTAAAATCCTGTGAGCACAAACATCTAGGAGAATTTGAAGAATGTTCAAAAGAATAACACAAATAGCACAGAAAATATTTTAAAATGTATTTAATTTTTGACATACTCGCAATGAATTTTTTAAATGTAGAAAGCACATAAGGCTTAGAAGCATTTCCATTCAGAGCTGATAGAAGGAAAATAAACCTTTTTTTGGAGGACAGAAAATATAAGAGTGAACAAAGGCCACAGGCAAGGAAGAACACTCAGTATTTTTGAAACTTGGAGAAAATCTGGTAGAAAGAAAATGGCTATGTTAGACCACAGGGTTATAAGCTGAGTTATAAGTATAACTCAGCTTCCTACCTCTTGGACCCAGTTAGCTCTGAGAATCCTAAAACAATTATGGACATGTGTCAGTAATAGTTACCTTTGTGACTATGTGCCAGGCACTGTGCTAGCATTTTACATATCATTTCACTGAAGTTTTGCAACACTGTGAGGCAATAGGGATCATTCCCAATCATACGGCCAAGGACCCTGAACCTTAGGTTAAATAAATCAAGTAACCTGATTCCAACACCTAGCACTACACCACACTGTCTCTGAGACATAAGGGTAAAACTTCAGTGGGGGTTTGTTAGTGCTGATGCTTAGGATGGATCCATATTACTATTTAAATCTGAATCAATAAGCTTTCTCTACAGCCACAGAGAGCATAAGGATTCCACTCAATTCAACAGGTACACGTTTTTTCACAGTGTGCTAGAGATTTTTTGCTGTTTGTTTTTGGTACAGACAGTGCTTTGGTGAATTTAAAGAAGTAAAGAAGGGCTGGGGTTGTGGCTGAGTGGTAGAGCACTTGCCCAGCATATGTAAGGCACTGGGTTTAATTCTCAGCACCACATATAAATAAATAAATAAATTTAAGATCCATAAATAACTAACAAATATACTTTAAAAAAGAACTAAAGAACAAAGGCACATACAGAATAGATGAAAAGCCTTAAGATTCTGGAGAACAAGAACAGAAATCATGCAGGGCACACCTGAGTATAAATGAGGGTTTACACACTAATCCTAAAATGATAGCAACCCTTAAAACTTGAAAAGGGTATATTAGACCAAACACTAATAGTTATTTTTCACATTACACTTACAGAACACAAGACACAAGAAAAGTATGAGTTCCTTCATGGATGACCAAGCTATAATAGGTTAAAGAAAGGAGCTTATGCTGGTGGTTTTCAGTTTGGATTCACTGAGCCATCTCTGTTGTACAACCCTTCATGTCATTTCTGAGGATAGATTAAAAGGCTGGGTAAATCAAAGTCCAGAGCTACTTCTGGGCTCACATAGCAGCTGTGAAGCACCAGCCATCTTGCATGCCCTCTGTTTGCTAATAATTAGCCACCCATGGCATCTGGCAGGGTGGTGGGGGGAGCTCTTAAAATTTGGTTCATTTATATTTGGTATCATCATGGAATTAATATAGTCATTTGAAAATAAATGCACCCAAAAGTAAGGAAGCAGTGAAGCCTAAAAGGAAAAATTGCATATCTAAAAAAATAATAAACAAATAAATAATAATCTTATAAAGGCTGTTTTTCTTTTATATGCTTCAAAGAAATTCGAAGGCAGATTGTCTTGGTTTATATGCTTAAATACTTTTGAGTCACTGGTAGCCAAAGCGAAGAAAAGTAATTCTGAATATTTTTTAATGGATTAATTTAAATGGCACTTAGCTATATACTTTACACAAAAGAATGTTACATAAACAACGAAGTGGAAGAACCTGCTCAAATACTTCAGTAACCAGTAAATCAATCAATGATCTACCTACAGTAACTTCCAAACTTTACATATCTATCACAGAGTTTAAACAAATTCAAAATATTGAAGTGATAACATCTGACATATTTAGGTATTGTTTTATTTTTTAACTACCCTTTCATAGCTATCTTGGGTTTCCAGGTTTTATGGCTCATCATATATGACTCTAAGTTTTATTCCTCAGTTAAAAGCGAGAAACTGAGCCAGGTGTGGCGGCACCTGTGTTTAATCCCAGCAGCTCAGGAGGCTGAGGCAGGAGGATAACCAGTTCAAAGCCAGCCTCAGCAACTTATCGAGGCCCAAAGCAACTTAGCAAGATTGTCTCAAAACAAATAAAAAGAGCTTGGGAGCTCAGTGGTTAAGTGCCCCTGGCTTCAATCTCTGGTTTAAATAAAAAGGGAGGGGTAAGAAACTGAATGGAATGGATAAATAAAAATCAACTGTTAAACTGCATTTAATTGGCTCATTTCTCAAAGATATAATATTTAATAATACTATATTCTTACCCACCCAGAATGTATTATCTCCTCTGCAAAGTATTTGTTGTCTATTTGTATTCTCCATTAGTTTTCTGGATGTTATCAATGTTCATTATTTAGGTAATACTTTGCGCTGTTTTAACCTTCCAAATGTTTTCAGTTTAAACATTTGTCTAAAGGTTTGTTCCTTGTTCAGTCACATACTCCATAACTTCAATGCCCCTATTCAAAGACTCTAGGTCCAGTAACAGTGCAGGAGGGAGTGAAGGAATGACACTCCAATCCACAAAGTAGGCTTGGAGAGAGAATTAAGCATAATTTGTAGGAAATGAGCCCCACATTTGTGTGTGTGTGTGTGTGTGTGTGTGTGTGTGTGTGTGTGTGTTGCTAGGGATTGAACCCAGGGCCTTGTGCATGTGAGGCAAGCACTCTACCGACTGAGCTATATCCCCAGCCCTACATGGTTTCTTGATAGAACATAATTATAAGTTCTCTGACCAGCTAAGGTTTTTCTCCATGGGTTTTTGCAAAACCATTCTAGATTAAGCCTTAGTTGATGGCCAGGATGGCAAATAGGCTTCACATATACCAAGTCCAGTTAATTAGTAGCCTGCCTAGAACTTTGTGTTGAGAAGAATTCTGAGAGCAGATTGGCAACACAAATAGACATACTTGCTTTTCATAGTCTTGAATGCTATCAACAAGAAGCTTACCAGATGACAACTTCATGGCTAATAATACAATGAAGTACTGTTAGCTCATCTACTAATCCAAATATTTTTATATTCTGTAACAGAAAATATTTTGCCCAAGCCAAATTTGTATTACTTGTTACATGTAGCTATTCAAAATATAAAAAGGTATTGGAAAAGACATATAGTGACTGATAGGCTTTACAAGAAAGTTCTTTTAACTTGTAAAAATAACTTATGAAGCCATACTCACAGGATCCCCTCCAGAAGCAAATGAAATTGATTGCATATGATGATTTGCAATAATCTGAAAAACATAAACAAACATATATAATACTATAAATTATTATTCCTAGTTATGTATAGTCTAACAGTAATGGATATACATGTATCCATTCTGTTTTTTACCTTCTTAGCATTCCTTTGGAAAACACCCCACCATATTCCATAATAATCCATTTTTTATTGCTTTTTGATACTAGGAATTGAACTCAAGACCTTGCATATGTTAAACACATGTTCTGCCACTGAACCACACAACTCCTCTCCCAAATAATCTAATTCAAACCATTAGAGTCAGGTGGTTTTGACATGCCCATCTCACTGCCCCTCCCTACCTAGATGAACAAGATTCAGGTATATCCAATCAGACATAGCAAAACCAATCAATGTTTTCTGAAAGGAAATGAGATGGCTGATAAGAGAAAATGCATCTCTCTCTGCCATTAAGGACGGTGTAAGCCCAAAGTTTCTGGGGATCATCTTTTGCTACCACATGGGAAAAGCCTGCTGGAGACCAAATTTTCCATCTGGAGAAAATCAGAGATAGAAAAAAGTCTGGTGGAAACATTTGTTCCATCACTTTAACCAATATATTTTCTCCCTTTCATTTATATTTTTGTTTCTATTTATTGTTTTTTGCATAGTTTGAATTTGGTTTCAGTCATTTACCATCAAGTGGATATGCACTAAGAACATTAAGATTGCCAGTAAGTCAAGTAAGACTCAACATGTAAATTGCATTAATTAGTCAAGAAGATTGTCTCTTTTACTTGAGATTCTGTTTGTTTGCTGGTTTGGCATTCTTAGTATAATAAATAACCAATTTGCAGAGATTATTTGTTACACAGGTTTAAAGTTTCATTAAAATACCAACTATAGACTAATGAGTAATCCTGTTTTCAGAACTGAGTGACAGAATTAAAATTACATATATATAACCAATCTATTCTACTCCTACACATATATCCAACAGAACTGAGTAAATATGTGCAACAAAAGATAACCTCAAGAAAGATAATAAATTCCCTGTTTAAAATAGCTCTAAACTGGAAAAAATTCCAATGATGATCCCTATGATATTCAAACAACAGACTACTACTTAGCAATGATGTGTCTGTTAAACAAAAGAAGCCAAACACAAAGAATATATACTGCATAATATAATTTATTTAAGTTCAAAACCAGGCAAAATTATCTTATTGTGTTTGCAGTCAGGACAGTGGCTATTTCTGAAGCACAGGAAGGGGGTAAAGTGATTTTACTGGGATGGTACAAATGATCTGGGTAGTGATTACATACATATGTTCATTTTGTGATGAATTACATACATTATTTATTTGCTTTTCTATATATTTCAGTAAAACAAAATCAATATACAAAGATCAATGTCAATATCATGTATCAACAACAGTTGATTAGACACTGTATCCAGGGGGCAAAATGGGAGGAACATTTTTAAAAGGTATACTTAAGTATAAAACTAATAAGAATCATGTAAATCTTTTTAGAAACTCTATTGAAGAGTATAAGATTTGAATAAATAGAAAGATACATATCATCTTATAGATGAAAAGATAACAAAGGTCAATTTTCTTCCCTTAAATTAAGCTATAAATTCCATCTAATTCTAATAAAAATGCTACCAATGTCATTAATAGAACTTCTCAAGCTGCTTCTAAACTAATATGGAAGAATAAATGTGGAAAAACAGCTAAAGCAATTTTAAAATAACAAGTACACAAAATTTCCCTCATCAGATAGCAGATATAGTATAAAAAGACATACTCGGGCTGCTTCTAATATTCAAAGGAAGAATAAATGTGCAAGAAGAGCTAATTTTTTAAAGGCAATTTTTTAAAGAACAAAAACAAGATTTTCCTTATCAGAAAGCAAGACCGCATTACTGACATATAAAAGTCAGGAAGAAAAAGAAAAAAACTTAAATTTGATTACATAAAGATTAAATTTAAAACTGTTTATACAAGACCCTTAAACAAGACCAACAAGAGTCACAGAATGTACTTCTAAAATGAAAAAAGAGAGTATTCACATGCAGAATTTATAAGGAATTCTCATGATTTAGTAAGAAAATAAAAGAAATCCCAAATAAGATCAGTTAATTCACAGAAGGAATACAAATGTTCAATGAATCATACTGAAAGATAACCAACTTCTAAGATAAAATAATGTCATGAACAATAAGACGAGATACCACCATTAAGTTGATAAAATCTTGAAGTCCAACAATATCAAGTGTGCAAAGGCTGTGGATAGTCTCAAACGAAGGTAGCTAAACTTAAATTTGTGGAGAAACTTCAGAGAGCAATTTGACATATTTAAAATGACATATACATACCCTACGATTCCACATTTCCACTTCTAGGTATTTATTCTAGAAAAACATTGGCACATGTAGATGTTCATTTATCCGTTGTTTATAACATCAAAAAAAAAAAAAAAACACACACACATAAATTATCCGTCCCTGATAAGGTCAACTACAGTATATTTACATAAATGAGAAAAAAAAGCAAAAAGTTAAATCTTTATGACATTGTTGAGGCTTATTTTCCCTTTAAATGGAAGACGGGTTAAAATACATAAAAAATCGCAAAACCTCCTTTTTTTTCTACAAGTTACATAGAGATTCATGTAAATACAAAATAAGTGTGTGTTGGCGGGGAGGGGGGTTCTTAAAAAATAAGCACCAAATTGATAATCGTGGAAAGTCAGCTCCTGGAAAAAGATATAGAACCAAGCATTTCTTCACAATTTTTAAAGAAAATAGCGTTATTTGCGAATTTAACTTTTTTAAATAACAAAAATTTAAAAAGCAGCCTTGGTCATTTGTTAATATGTTGCCCAGTGGTTGCGGATATTGTCTGGCCTGGAGACGTGGATTCACAAGTCATTTGAGCATGGATTAAAGGTAAACTAAAAGCTTGATGCGACTGCCAGGGGGAGGGAGAGGGAGGGAGTGGGATGGGAGTCTGAAGTGCTGCTACGGAGGCCACGTATTTTACAGTTCACAGCATCATAAGCTGAAGTACTACGTGATGCTCTTGGATACAGTCTCAAGGCAGAGTTGAAACGGTCAAATCAAAACCCACCCAGCAAACATTCCCCGAGGAACGCGAGCGTCCCCCACCCCATTTGCGCGCCGATACTGCTTCGGCGTTGGGGCAACGCGCGTGCGCAATAGATTACGCAAGCGCGCAGCGTTTGCGCACGCGCACAATCGCTCGTCCGCGCATCTCTTATTTTGCCGAAAGCGCTTTGCAGGAGACTGAGCGGTTTCAACAATGTCGGAAATGGCAGAGCTGTCCGAGCTGTATGAAGAGTGCAATGACCTACAGATGGATGTGATGCCTGGCGAGGGTGACCTTCCGCAGATGGAGGTAGGCAGCGGGAACCGGGAGCCATCCCTGAGCCCCTCCCGCAATGGGGCCCAGCCACAGCTCGAGGAGGAAGGCCCAATGGAGGCGGAGGAGGCCCAGCCAATGGCGGCGCCAAAGGGGAAACGCGGCCTGGCTAACCGGCCCAACCCTGGGGAACAGCCGGGCCAGATCGCGGGCCCAGACTTCGAGAGCGAGGATGAGGGCGAGGAATTTGATGACTGGGAGGACGACTACGACTATCCCGAAGAGGAGCAGCTGAGTGGTGCTGGCTACAGAGTGTCAGCCGCCCTTGAAGAAGCCAACAAGATGTTTCTGAGAACATCCCGAGCACGGGAGGCAGCCCTGGATGGCGGGTTTCAGATGCATTATGAGAAGACCCCGTTTGATCAGTTAGCTTTTATCGAAGAGCTTTTTTCACTTATGGTGGTCAATCGTCTAACCGAAGAACTCGGTTGTGATGAGATTATTGATAGAGAGTAGTTTAATGCAGATAAGAGGAGGAAACTACTTGAGGAGAGACCCAACTTTCCGCTGTTCTTTGGGTTCATTCCAAATCGTTCTGTGGCAATGAAAAACTTGATTCGGGGGAAAAAAAATTGGTTTTTGTTTTTCAGAATACAGGACAATAGGACAGTGATTGCACAGTTGTGAAAAGACAAAGAATCATGAAAGAAAAGGGGTCTTAAGACTGTTGAAATCTGTTTTCCAAGAATGTCCTGAAACACCTATGGCTTTGACTTTGTTATTGATCAAGATTATTTTCCTTCCACTGGGGAAGATATCTAGTCTGTAAAGAAGGTTTTACAAGAGTAAATCATGACCAAGACAAACTGCCAATACAGGAGCCCACTGATACGAATTCTAAGAGGGGAAAAACAAAAAAACATACAAGTTATTTGGACTGAAAAACCTGTTGAGAAACTCAAAATTCTACTTCGTGATCTAGCCAAGTCATGGTTATCAAAGGCTAAATTTGGAGTGTAAGATGAATTGAGTATTCATTTACGAAAGGATAAGTGAATTAAAATATATGTATCACATATACTATATCTTAAAATGTGTTTCCAAGAGCATCTGAAATTTTGTACGTGTATTTTGATCATTTATAAAACCGTGATCTATTAATTCAGGAAAATCTATTGACATGATTTTTAAAGTAAAAATGTCTTTTTACAAAGTTTCAAATTTTGACATTGAAATGTATGTGAAAGTACCAAAAAGACAAATTATTTCTAATACCCTTATATACTAGGGAAGTTTTGTTTTGCTTGCTGATTTTCGTTTAACTTGACAGGTGAAAGACTTTAGTTGAACTTGGTATTGTAACAACTGTTGGTGAAAATTGTCAAGTGAAAGGAAAGCCCTCTACTTTAAAAAGACTGTATGGACATTAATTATGCTGTCAACCTTTGAAGGTTTTAAACCTGCTCAGAAATTCACCTCAGTATCTGAAGTTTCCCTCTGTCTCCTCCTCTAATTAAACTTGTTATTCCTTATGCACCAGCATTGGAGATAATAAAATTTGTTGTTCTGTGTATTTTGTTTGGCTATTAGTATTGCATATGTACTTTGTACACTACTTTTTATTGTATGTATCACTACACCCACTTTGTGGTTTAAACAGCCAGTATTTTAAGAGGAAATTACCCATCTGCAAATTTACAAATTAATTTCTGGAAATAAAACAATTACTACCTATAAAATTTTGCCTACCTAAGGAAACCTGTCATCAATGAGCATGTTGCATGGTTATCAAAAGCCAGAAGTTCCATGCAAGTAAGTTGTCAGAAGGCTATGCCAAGCAATATGAGTATACCAGCAGGTCTTACCATGAACAATAAAAGGGTTCCACAGATGGCAGTTAAATACAGATTCAGTGTAATAGGACCACTCATATCCTTACTTTATAGCCATCCTGTCTTTTGGTGTGGGGGAGTCCAATAAAATAGAGGACTGACAAGGATAATAAGATCAAACATTGGCTTGGTTGAAAGGGAAGGGAAAGATGGAGGAAAGACAGAAAAGAGGTAAATGTTGGTCCTTAATCTTACTGCCTCCCCAATACCTTGGGTCTTCCATTAATTTCTCATCTAACTTGTAGCTACAGTCAGATGAGTCTGGGACTTGGGGTGGAGGGATGCCAGTGTACAATAAACACAATAAGTAAGACAGGCGCAAAAAAAGAATCTACAAACAAGTTGAAATTGTTTCTGGGACTGAGTACAGAGCAAGGGATGGGGTGCAGGGAACTACTCCCTGTTGCTTTTTTTTTGGGGGGGGGGGGGCAGTTACTGGGGATTGAACTGGGGCATTAAACCTCTGAGCCACATCCCCAGCCCTATTTTGTATTTTATTTTTAGATAGGATCTCACTGAGTTGCTTGGCACCTCGCACCTGCTGAGCCTGGCTTTGAACTCATAATCTTCCTGTCTTAGCCCCCAGAGCTGCTGGGATTATGGACATGTGCCAGGACACCAGGCTTCCTGTTGCATTTGTAGGTTCATCTTGGGGAGAAAGACCTAGGCTCTGAAACTGATGGTTTGTTGCTCTTAAAAAGAACCAAGAACAGTAGCACAGGCCTATAATCCCAGTGACTTCAGGAAACTGAGGACGAAGGATTCCAAATTAGAAACTAGCCTCAGCAACTAGTAAACTGTCCCAAAATGAAAAATACAACTGGGGATGTTGCTCTGGTAAGGTGCCCCTGGCTTCAATCCTCAGTAACACACAAGCTGAGACCACTGAAATAGTTGTTCATATTTACTGAAAATAAATATATATATATATATATTTAATGTTAAGGTCGCAAAATGGAACCAGACTGCCTGATTCAAATTTGGGCTCCACTAAATTACTTCAGTAACAGTAAATTCATCTCTCTGGTTGGGTCCTAAACTGAAAATAGTAATTGGATGTGCCTTACAAATTGTGAGGATTAAATGCATCTATATGTATGTATAAAATACACATACAAAAGATACATATTATATATGTGTATATATATGTGTATATATATTATACACACACACACACATATATATATCTTCATATAGTGGAAAAAAGAAGGGAGTTTTGGGGTATTCTGATTTTGCAAGGGGGAGGGGATTTGGGGTGAGATTAGAGAATTTAATGGAGTTTAAACATACAGAGTGTGATTGGGATTGTCTATTTTCCAGATTGTGTGTATGTGTGTCCCTATATGTATTATGTTTCCTTACATCAGATGTCCCACATTGGCTCACCCAGGTCTATTTTGTTTGGCTCATGCTAATAATTTAATGAAAGACCAATAGCTCAATTCAGAGATAGCAGCTAAAAACACAGGTTTTCAATTTTTATTTTCCCCAAAGTGGGATATATGCCAGCCCTTAAATAGTCCTCTGTTGCAAAACACATCTGATTCACCTTTAGGAAAGGTGTTCTGTTTGCCAGGTTCTCCAGTGTCATCTCCCCATTATAGTGGCAAGTAGCACTCACCATTTATCATTATGCTTGCACCCCTATTTTTTTCTTGTGCCCAGACAGTTTGCATTGCCTGGCTGCCCTCTAGATATTTGCAGTTGTTTTTTCTCGTAGAGACTAAATGATATATCTATTTCTCAATGACCTTTAAAAAAAATCTGTTTATTACTCTTCTCAATTTAATAGCTATTAGAGTTAGTGACAGTTTTAGAAATGAATCAAGAATTGATGGGAGTGGGAACTACTGAGACTCACATTTTTGTTTAAGGTCCTAAAATATTATAGTCTCCTTTATTTATAGTTTCACTTTCCTCAGTTACGTTACTTGTGGTCAACTGCAGTCTGAAAATTTCTGGAAAATTCTAGAAATAAGTCTTTCAAAATTTTACTGCACACCATTCTGATTAGCATGATGAAATTTCATGCTATCCTGCTTGATCCCATACAGGACCTCAATCATCCTTTACCCAGCATATCCACATTGTATACATTACCTGCCCCACAGTAACTTAGCCCTTTCATTATCAGTGAATCCACTATCATGGTATCTTGGTGCAAATAATCCTTCTTTTACTTAATGCCACAAACAAAATAGTAGTAAGATAGGCAATTTGGATATGCCAAAGAGAATTCATATAGTGCTTCCTTTAAGTGAAAAGTTGAAAGTCTTTGACTTAATAAAGAAAGAAAAAATCCTATTCTGAGGTTGCTATGATCTACCTTAAGAACAAAACAGTATATATAGGGTTTGGTTTGCACTGGGGTTTCAGGCATGCACTGGGAGCTTGGAACTATCCCCCACAGATAAGGAAGAACTACTGTATTAAAGTATGTCAAGAAAGACTGTTGCTTGTCAGATGTGGTTGGCTCATGCCTGTAATCCCAACGGCTCAAGAGGCTGAGGCAGGAGGATTGAGAGTTCAAAGCCAGCCTCAGCAACATAGTGAGGCACTTACCAACTCAGGAAGACCCTGTCTCTAAATTTTTTCAAAAAAGGGCTGGGGATGTGGCTCAGTGGTTGAGTACAAAGGTGCGATCCCCTGGTACCAAAAACAAAAACAAAAAATAAAGTCTGTTGCTTAAATTTTAAAACAAGGAATATATAAACTCATATAACTTGCCTTTCCAAAATGTATTTTCTCACCCCCAAATATGGTAGTTGTTTAAACATTACACGTTTAATACAATTTTGTTTTCTGCTTCTGAAGCACTATGAAACATCTTCTAGGAGTAAATGTTTATATTCTTAATGATCTCAGTGACTGAAGATAAATGGAGCCACCTAAACAATAGGTGTTATCATCTATTCATATATCTTTATGTTTTCATTCCATAGTGTATCTTTAGAAGCTGAGAAGAGTGGGGAGGCATTAGCATTTCTTTTTATTTATTTATCTTAGAACTTCCAGGGAGAGCTTTCTTTGAAGATTTAATTAATAAATCCTTTTATCATGCTACATTTATAAGGTCTCTCTTCTTTACTGCCTTCATTCTTTGAACATTTTAGTTGCCTTTCCCATGAGATACATAAAGTTTCTTGAATTGAAGCATTCATGTTGGTATATCTCTACCTTCTTCCGCTAGTCATCTCCCACCACTGCAGAATAACTCAATATCAGCCCCTGAGTCTGAGATCATTGAGATCCTAACTTTGGTCCCCACTCCAGCAGCAGGCTGAACACAAACCCACTTAATGCTATTACCAGTGTAGAAAATATGTGAGCTATTCTCAGAGATACATCCTTGCTATAGCTACTGGTAGTAGAAGTTACCCATGCCCATTCTTCCTACCTTTGTTTGGACTGAAAAAAAAAAAAATGATGGGCATGTAGTTATGCCACCTCTAACTGCTGTGAATTGAATAAGATAGTAAAGGAGAAGTAGAGGCTGAAAATAAATTATGCCCATCACATGAATAATAATTCTATTCTTCATAAATTCAATTCCTTTCAAGCACTATTCAAAGGGACATTTCTAAAAACTGATCATTCAATTCTGCACATAGGCCGTCACCATGATATTTCCAGCTTTTCCTGTTCTTCCTGCCTTACAAAATTCTGAGATAATTCAAGAGCTTCTAAATTCATATCATAACTAAAAGCATTGAGTCTCTATGGTTATCATGTACAAGGGTGAAAACTAAAACTAAATTTTATAGCCACAGAACTCTTGAGGTCAAAGCATATGAATGACTTAATGAATGTTTCATCTTCCACCCAGATGATTTGCATCTTCCAGGTTGGTACAGGACAAAATGTTATGCTATCATTATACCAATGGTATCACCTCTCTTGGACAATCAGTCAAGAACCAACTAGATGGGAAGCTATTTTGAATTATTTCATATCAAGTATTTTCCTCTAAGATATTTTATATTAATGCATCAGCAATGCATTTTATTCCATTTTTTAGTTTAGAAAATAAAACAGCCCTCAAAACATGTACTTATAAATTACTGACAATTTTATGATTTTGTGTATTATGCTTTTCCCAGTAAGTACTTAGTACATATATGAAAAAAGTCTCTGAGAAGGAATGAGTAAATAACAATACTAGATACCGTGTGACTGGCACTGTACTAAATGATTTACACCCATTACCTCATTTAATCCTCTAGCCCTGTGAGATATTGTTAAATTCATGCTCTCAGAAACCCTATGATAGTCCTGTCAACTTCATTTTCTGTTCTCTTCACATCTCTCCCAGATATCTCAGAAAGATTCCTCAATTTTCCTTCCTCCTTCTTCAACTTACTTGGGAGTTAATATCTGACCATAATTGTGACTGGTAGTTATGATTCTTTGCAAATAGAATTATGTAAAGGCAAAGTTATGAATTAATTTTAGACCCATTTGGAAAAAAAAGCAGGATCTACATCTCAAAGTCCTATCTAAATACCCAGAAATATCCTCCAGAATTTTATATATATATATATATATATGGATTTATATATATGGATTTATATATATATGGATTTATATATAAATAATTTAATTATTATTATTATTAGAAATTACTTAGAAACTTTCCATCATTTTGCATACACACACACACACACACACACATATCCCCTATGATAGGTACTGTGCTCTGCAGTTCACTGGTGAGGAAAACTGAAGCTCACAGTGGAAGGATGACTTGCTAATAAATGGAAAAGCCATCATTTCACCCTCACATAACCTTAAACTTAGTGTTTTATCATTACCAGTGCACATTAAGCCTTCCACAAATCCTTGAGCATTCCATAGAGTAAAACCTTAAATATTAAGAACCTTGAACCGTGCACTATATATTAGATAACAGAGAAAAATCAAATACCAATACATATAAACAACCTGATACAAGTAATTTAGCTTAAAAATTAAAACCAAGTCAAAAAGAATATCCTAGTGTAGGTACATAATTAGCCATACCTATATATCTTTTATATTTGCTTCAGCAATGCTGTTCTATGAGAAATGAGGTTCATAATGAAAACTTGGGCATATTGTAGTATCATAAATCATCAAGAGAGAAAATAAGTTCACACAATAAAATTGTAGAAAGCTTTCAACCACAGGAGTTGAAAGAAAATGTCTTTTGCTTAAATTTCTGTTAGCTACAACATTAACCCTGACATCACCCCTCTCCTTGGTCTGTCATCTGCACCCCAGTCCAATACACACTTCATTAATTCTGATAATGGAAATGCTTTCCCTTTAGGGAGAGCTGGTGGAGAATAATCAATGACCAAATGAAGGATATTAGTTAATAAATGGTATTTACTGTGTTCTTTGAACCTTAGTTCTTTATACAAAGCTTATTAGAGAATAGCAAGTATGTAGGCAGTTAAATGCCTAAATGATGGCTTAGTAATACTATTATTCTAATTATTATCATATATAAATATACATAAGTCTTGGGCAGATTTTTTCCTTTATGCCTTATTAAATGATAGGCATACTCTGTTGGACACTTTATTTTCCTCTACCCCCCAGTTCTCCAAAACAATAGATGACATATAAACTATAAATGATATTCATTGTCTCACCTGTTGGTTGTCAAGATTCATCAGTGTGAGGCTGCACGTTGAGATGGTCAGTTTTATATTCATTCCCGAAAACTGAAGGTTACTTTTGCCAAGAACTGTTGATAGGAACTTAACTGGGGGCTTTAAAAATAACAAAACAACATTGCAAGTTATGGATTTTGTTATAGAATAAATGGTAATGTTTTTTAAATGTTAAAAATGAGGCAAAGCCCATATTCTTCCTCTCTATTTCACTTTACACATATCAAATGAGATGAAATGACTTTTCATTATAACTTATACTAGGCCCTGGGGTCATAAAGCAGAGAAAGAAGTACCAATACAGGGTATCTCTTTGGGATGGGTTGGCCAATTTTCTCAAGCAGAAGTGCCATTTATGACCAGAAGTGCTGTATGACCTTGAAGAAATACCCTTTTTAAGCCTCAATATCCTTTTGTATAAAAAGTAAAAAAAAAAAATAGAAGCTACACCTTATAAGAGCTGTTGTAGATTGAATTAGGTAATAAATGGAGAGCATTTAGCATAGTGCTTGGCTGCATGCATGAGCACTATTATTGCTATTGCTATTGTTCTTCCAACTCCAAGATCCTCAAAGATAGTTTGAAGGATTTATATACTCTGATGGAATCTTGGATTAAGTTTTGAAATCCTCTGCTGGAAAGTGGGCCAGTTGAGGATAGAAAATGAGTGACTGCCTCAACATATGGATCAATACTTTTTTTTTTTTTTTGGTACCGAGGATTGAAATCAGGGGCACTTGACCACTGAGCCACATCTCCAGCCCCTTTTCATATTTTATTTAGAGACAGGGCCTCGTTGAGCTGCTGAGGCTGGCTTTGAACTCGTGATCCTCTTGCCTTAACCTCCAGAGCCACTAGGATTACAGTTGTGTGCTACCACACCAGGCTGGTTCAGTACTTTGAAGCAATCAATTAATACATACTTTGGTTTCTTCATAGTTTTTCTTGTATATTACTTTTATTTGAATCCTTATGAAACCACATCAAACTGTTAAATATACATCATTGAAATTTGATGTAGTTTATTTTCAATTCTAAGTACATTCTAAAATATGGTGATGGTGTAACTAAGATACCCCCCAAAACAGGTATCCTTCCATCATAAAGTTGACTCTTGGTTTGCTTTCTTTGCTCTTTGTATAGTGCTTGGCAAGATAAGCCATAAATCCAGGGACTTTGTGTTATCCAAAGTGATTATATTTGGGGTTTTATTACCCAAAATGATTATATTTGAGAGTGAACCACTTCCTTGCTTCTTCTGAGTTTCTTTTGCATGCTAAATGTTAAAAATTTTTATTAAATTCAAATTAAATAATTATACTCTCTCATAATTGACAAGCACTTTGTTATTTACAAAAATCATTTATGTATATTATCTTAATTTTGCCCTCCCAATAACCTTAACCTTGAGAGAAATGCTCAAATGTATTTATTGCATAGAAGACAGAGCTGAGAACACAGCTCTGTGGCATAGCACTTGTCTAGTGCACATGAAGCCCTGGGTTCCACCCCTAGCATTACAAAAAAAAAAAAAAAGAAAAAAGAAAAAAAAAGGAGTATGGGAGTCAAAGTATTTCATTCCATTACTAGAAATTATTTAGAAATAATTTAATAATAATTATTATTATTATTATTACTTACTAGAAATTATTTAGAAACTTTCCAATAACCCATGGAAGAGAAAGCACATAGATTTCAGGCAAATATAGCCGAATAGAAAACAAACAGGACTGGTGGAGGGCAACTTGGATTCACCTAGCCAGGGGACCTTAGGAAACTATTAACTAGTTAAGGGAACTTAAGGGTGCTACTAACTAGCTGGGGGACCTTAGGAAACTCCCTGAACCCCTTGTTTCTATACTTAGAAAACAGGAATAATAACATTGATTCTGTCCTTCTACTTCTAGCCATGGGATTCTTGGAAGAATCAAATTCAGTAATAAAGTTCATGGAAAGGCACAGTACCCAGGGAAATGCTAACAGATTATAGTGATTGTGACTACCATGTTTTAAATTAATTCTGGCAATTTTGCTACAGTGTTTCTGCTTTGATAAGAGGGGGAAAATTGTGCAGGTCCTGGCCCGGAGACAGGCAGTTACAGGAGTAGAGGAGAAGGGAACAAAAAGAAGAGGCTCAGAAAGTGAGACTAGGATACTTCCCAACTTTCACAAAGAAAGTGGAGGCTGGCTGGGAGGAGTGATTTTTATCATATTTTATAAATGAGAAAACTTCTAAGATAGGGAGACCTTAATTGATATAAACTAATTAACTTATTGGTATTGACACCAGACTGACTCCATGTCACAGTCTCTCAGGAACCCCGCCCCCCCACACACACACTTTTTTGTTATTCATTGACTTTTAGACTTAGAAACTCATCATATCACACAAATGGATAAGTACCTCAGCCCTCCAAATTTCCTGTGGTGAAATACTCCACAGACCTAAAGGAATAAAACAGATCCTAAGCATATTTAGTTGACCTTACTAGTTTTTGACTCCCTAACCTGGGGAGATATGCAAGGCCAGAGAGGCAGAGAACACAGTGGTTAAGAACGTGGATCCTGAATCCAGTCTGCCTGGGCTTAATCTGGCAACTCTGGGTCACTGGGCAAGTTACTTAACCTCTCTGGGTCCCAGGTTCCTCATCTGTAAAATGAGGATAAGAAATAGCACCTGTTTAGGTTTTTTGTGACGATTCACAAAGTATAAAAACATAGTATACGTGCAAAACTAGGGACACAGCAAAAACAGTGCCAAGAGGAAAATTAAAGCTATAAACCCTTACATTGGAGGAGCAGGGGGAGGAGGAGAAAGATATCAAATAAAAAAACCTAACTTTACAATTTAAGAACTAGAAAAAAAGAACAAACTAAACCCCAAGTCAGCAGAAGGAAGAAAGTAATAAACATCAGAACAGAGATGAAAAGAACTGGAGACTAGAAAAACAATACCACTGAGCCATACACTTAAAAATGGTTAAGATAAAAGATTTTGTTATATGTATTTTATCACAGTAAAAATTTTGGAAATGAAGAGCATTTCAAAAATGAAGTTCCAGGAAGATTCCCTGGTATATATTAAGAATGCTAGTTATCAAGGGGAATTAACTCAAGAATTTATTTTTCTTTATAGGTATACTTTCTGGAGAGATAATAACCAGGTTTGTTTTATTTGGGAGTACTCCTGAAACAAGAAAACCTTAAATGAATGAGCCTGTTTACTGAGATCATCCAGTTGAAGCAGAGATGAGGAGAAGGAAGAGTCTAGTGGCTACTTTGGAGCAAGGGGTTCTGTCAAAGAAGCCAATAATAGGGAGTCCTTTATAGAATTCCAGGGCCATTTGTCAGGGGTTACCATGATATATGGCTCCTTTGAGCCACTCTGGGATACTGGGTTCAGCCCTATGTAAAATGATGAAGAGTGATAACAGAAAAAATAAGGCAGGGTGATATAGAAATAGATCACTCAGCTAGGAATCAGGAGACCTGGCTTTGAGAGGTGGCTCTGACCATAATTGTCCCAAAGATCATCTCTTCTCTCAGACTCAATTTAGCAATTGGCAAAACGAGATCAATAAACATCCCTTTTCTCTTAAACAGTTCACAATTCCATGATTCATATACATATCTAAAAAAGAGACTTCACCTCTTTGTTAAATTAAGACTTTTCAAGGCAATTATGCATTTCAGGATTAACGGATTAATAGCAATTATACTAGAAATAGAAATACATACAAATAGAAAATATGTAGAAATAGAAAGTCTCATATACGCCAGACACTGGTGGACACTCTGTAGGTATCACTTCACTTAATGTTTCCATGATCTTATAAAGTACTATTTTCTTTCATTTTACAGATAAGAAAACCAAGGATCCAAGAGGAAAATGACTTATCCAAGATCATATAGTTCTTGGGTGGTACAGGCAGGATTTCAATCCAGGTCTGTCTAACCTCAAAATTTTTGCTTTCTTTCAGCATGGTAATCTCCTTCTACCCAGGTGTTATTAACTCATCTCTACCAGGAAGTATAAAATTCTAAAACATTTTTAAATGCATATGTGTATAAAATATTGAAATTGGAAGGCCCCAAACTGTCATGTGTTTGAATTCCCTAACTTCACAGTGTCTCAGAGAGAAGAGACATCATACTCAAAAGCAAGTGCAGACCCGCCGGGGAACCAGGGTTTCTGCCCTGAAACCCAGGCACTTCCTCCACTCTGCCAAGCAAGGTGTCACCATTTCAGACACTGTCCGCTGAGCTCGAAAATTCTGAGGGACAAGAGCGACTTTGGGTGCAGCTTTGATATCGTGCCATTGAATAAGTCCAGGCTGGACCTTGGGTCACGTGGTGGAATGAACTAACAACAATTTTGATACCTTCTTTGCTGTAATTAGAGAAATGTAAAACAAAACACATCAATATTTACCTTTCGCTTTTTAGCAGCTCCATTTGTCCCAGGGACAGTTTCACACAGGCGACTTATTGCTTCCCTATAGAACAGAAACCATAGAAATACTTAGCATATCACCTACACACTGTAAGCATTCAAGAAATGCTAGCATTATTATGACCAGCAAGTATGCAGACATAAACAGTGAGGCTGCCATAAATGACCTTCCTGTGGCCCCACAGGAGAAAACACTGCGCTTAGTCTCATCTGCAGTTAGTTCAAACTCAGGGAGACCTAGCAATACCCTAATATTGAAAAACTGCTTTCCAACAAGGAATCCTACTAATCATTTTACTCATTAATTTTTTTCCTTAGATTTTCAGATTTGATTTTTTTGATTTTATTTATTTTTATTTATATATGACAGCGGAATGCATTACAATTCTTGTTACGCATATAGAGCACAATTTTTCATATCTCTGAATGCCAAATGCTTTCTTTGATATAAGAAGACTGACTCATAGTGGGATAGGGAGAGAGATCATGGGAGGAATAGACGAACTCTAGATAGGGCAGAGGGGTTGGAGGGGAAGGGAAGGGGCATGGGGTTAGAAATGATGGTGAAACATGATGATCACTATTATCTGAAGTACATGTATGTAGACACAAATTGGTGTGAATATACTTTGTATACAACCAGATTTGATTTTTTTTGTCGTTGATTTTTTAACCAAAAAGGAGGGGCCAACCTTTGTCTTCTGGGAATACTTCACAATTTTTCCTCTAGCAAAATCCTCACTGTGGTTCATGGTTATTTCAGCACTAAAGACAATTAAAAACAAACAAATACAACACTAGAAGAAGTTTGAAAGGATAGGGAGAGCATTGGACTTCAAGGTGGGCTCAAATGGAGGCTTATTGACTAAGTAACTGCTACACACCATTGAGCTTTCATGTAATTTCACAGAAGAAAAAGAAAATCAATATCAAATTTCCTCCTTTGCTTATTTTTCTGCTCTTACTACATATTGCACTTCCTGAGAGAAAAGCACCACTAAAATAAGTAGTTGCTCCTTAATGGAAGTGGTGGAGGAGAAGCACCCTCCTCTCCAGAAATGCAGTTATAACTAAAAGCTTTTGTGTCTGGGACGATGAACATTCATAACCTACCCTTCCTCACTCTGGGTAATATGAACCTGAGCCTTTTGCTTTCAACACACACATTTAACTTTTCACAAGGCAAATGGAATTCTCTATGCTCCTTCCTGGGTCTCCCCAGAGATCACTGTTTAAAGTAACAAATTGTGTATGAAGATAATACAACATTGTATTTCAGTTTTTTATAATATTTTCTGAAATAATTTTGATTTCCACAGAAAGAGGGGAGCCATCAGAGAAAGGAATTCAGACCCATTACTAAGAAGCTACAGTTAGGATAGGTAATAGTGCATATCAGTGATCCAGAAGACACTCTGGAAGGGTGAGCTGAATTCCCAAAGATTTCACACACATCATTTCAGAATTAACATATATGTTTTAGCCTAGGATCTCTTTTTTCCCTCTGAATAAATGAAACTCTTTCCAAGGTATTATCTTGTCTGATTTTGCATAATTACCTTCAACCAAAGAAGAGTATGGCTCCTTGGTTTAGCATATTTTCTCAAGATTTCATATATTGTTTCCTCTAGTATTCCAACCTTTATTCTCTGAGTCAAACAGAAGGATCATGCAGAAGGTTGGTTGATTAATGTTCTGAGTCACCTTAGTGATTATTAAATAATTGATGAGACTCATATAATTGATCCAAATTGACTTCCAAAACTGCCAAAATAATTAGTCCAGGAACTCCACTGTATCCATAGAATTTAATACAGTATTATAAGAAAGGGCAGGACCTTTACTCCATAAGAATCAATTAGGGTGCTTTGTAAGTAGTTCAAAATAAAGTATAAAGAAAGGTGGACCCTGATGCTACCAAATATAATAAGTATTATTAGAATTATTTTTAGAAGAAGGTATTACTTTTATATAGTGCCTTATAGTTTTACAAAGTGCTTTCCCAGGTATTGGGTTTGTTTGTTTGTTTGTTTTTAATTTCTCACACACCTACTATCTTCTAACAAAAGTAACATGGTAAATCTGAATTAAAGGGGACTCTTTAGCATGGGCACCTCTCAAGAAAGGATGAATCTACCTGGCAGGATGGGGACTGAAAATCCCAGAAAGAGAAGAGCAGAAGCATGAAGTATACAAGGGGAACAAATACTTTGACATTGCTAGAGAATAAAATGTGGTAAAGCAGGAGTGGATAAGAGATAAGAGATGAGATGAGAGTGGCAAATGTTTTTCTGTTAAGGACCCTATAGCAAATATTTTAGTCTTTGTTCTGTTCCAAATGCTCAATTCTGCCACTGTAGTGCAAACAAACAGCCTTAGACAATATGCCAACAAATGAGCATAGCTGTGTTCCAGTACAACTTTATTTCTAGAAACAATCAGTTGGCGAGATCTGGCCCACAGACCATAGTTTGCTAATTCACACAGAAGGAGAGAGAAAAGTTCAATCTTAAAAAAGAGGAAACTGTTCTTATACATTATCATTTTAAAATTAGATTTAAAACAACTACATGATACTTCATTTACATTAGGAAAAAAACAAATTTGAAGTCCATTACCACTTCAGACATACTTATCCATTGCTAGGAGCCTAAATAGTATTAGCATAATCTTTCTAAAGAGTAATTTGATAAAGCATGACAAATATAAAAATTATCAAAGTGTTTGACAGGGCAAGAACTTATATTGGAAGAGTGTGTAAGCAAAAGGAACATTTATTTTAGAATAGAAAACCAACCCCAAAGCTTGTGATGTAGAGATAAAATATGCCAAATTAAATATTGTCGGGAGGCTGAGAAAAGAGGATCCATTGAGCCCATAAGTTTGAGGCCAGTCTGAGCAACATAGCAAGACCCTGTCGAAGGAAGGAAGGGAGGGAGGGAGGAAGGAAGGAAGGAAGGAAGGAAGGAAGGAAGGAAGGAAAAAGGAATTGAAACTGGGTTTCAAAGAACTTAAATTTTACTGCTTCCAAACAAGGCAGCCTATAGTGGAAGACACAGAATACAAATCCAGGTCTGACTTCAAAACTCTCACTCAGCCAGGGAAGAGCAACATGGCCAGGTGGATAGGAGGAGGCCCAGGCTGGGGTGAGGGTGGGGGGATATTGATTGTCCTTCTTTTCCTCATGTCCCCTGTCCCCTACAGAGAGAGGGCTAACTTTTAGCCAACATTCACATCAATGTGGCTGAGATAAACTGCCAAGGGAAAAGGGCAAATGGGCTAGGATCAGCTCTGAAAAGGCTCTTGCTGAAGCCCCAACCCTTCCCCAGCCTTTGCATTTTGTCCCTTGGCTGCTAGTGTCTTCTGGCAGAGGCATGTGAACACTCACACACTCACCCCAACTGAGGTGCCTGCAGCTTTACAGTGTGAAAATCTCTGGATATACAACTCTCCTCAAAAGAAAACAAGGGGGAAACTTGTGCTTATGAACTTACTTTGAAAATGGAGAGGTTTTTGTTTTGTTTTGGATTTGAAACTCTAAAGTGAATCATGGGTTCCTTCCACCCAAAAAAAAATGTGTTCAGGCTACCTTTATTCAATTTCAAAGGGCCCACTTCCCACCGCACTGCCCCCAAAGCATTTGTAAACCACTGCTTAAAAATAACCTCTGAAACTCACTTTCTTTGGTGATGTCAGTGTTAACAGATCTGGAAATTTCAGGCATGGAAAACAGATATATGCCTGCCTTTTGTTGCTTTTCTTTCAAAGATCTTTTCTTTCCCTGAGAGTGGGATCAAGAAATTAACTGTAATATTTTCAAGAACAAATAGTACTTTCAGAGTTTTTCTGGAGTCTCAGCCACACCCTCCAGCCTAATACACTGACTGTACAAATGCTACGGAAAAAGAAAACACATTTGGGAGCCTGCAGTGGCGACTTCTCCCAGGGCCCAGGGTTCCCGCCTTCCTGGCTGCCAGCAGTCTGCATTTCTGCGTAGGCCTTTTGGAGCTGTCTTGCCATGAGATCCTCTGCAGCTAGCAAACATTTGGCACTTGTCTTCTCTTAGAGGAGCAGAATTTTTGGAGTTTAAATGGCTGAAGATTTCTATCCTGGGAGCCTGTTCTAGAAAAAGAGAGAAACACCCCACAACACCAACAGTGGCTACTTTGTTTATTGTTTCACCACATGAGAAGGAAGGGGAGAAGTGGGCTGATGTAAGAGAAGGAGAATGCAGTTGAAGATTTGCTTTTAAGACTATAAAACCCTGCCTACGCCATAAGACCAAAAAAAGATATTTTGTCTGCCTTCACAAAGTCCAAACCAATCATCTAAACAAAGCCATCTTTCTTCACTAACCCCAGGCCCACTGCAGTACTTAAGTTATAATTTTTCTGTGTCTTTAACCCTTAAACAGTTAAGCTCCTTTGGCAGCAATGTTGCCTAACACCCCTCTCCTTTTCTTCCCCCCAAGTTTGGAAGGCAATATCACAATCCAAGACAAAGTGGTACATTTAATGGGGGGAAGGGCTGCAGGGCAGTTTTCTCCCAGTGAAAATGCAGTTCTTCAGTAAATAGAAAAGCCAGAAAATGTGTCACATGAAACCAGGCAAAAAAAAAAAAAAAAAAAAAAAAAAAAATCATTCCTCTGGAATGATTGCAGGCAATGTTCCTGCAATCCCCCACCCTGCACACACACTCAGTCACAGCCACTGTCTCACATAACACACATGTCCACACACACAGTGAAGGAGTGGTTTCAGTTTTGTGGCAGTAGAAAAGAACCTTTCCAAACTGAAAAGATTCCGGCCACACTAATTTGCCTCTATTTCCCAAGGGACTTCCCCTTACTTCTCATCTCCAACATGATCCTTAAAGAAAACAGTTAACAATGTCTAAGAGTCAAGTTGTCACCTGAAAGTCTCGAATTGCCTTCATGTTGTGAATGAAGGGACTTGTGAGTCATTCAGACTCCACCTCGGTGTGGTATTATGTTATTCCAATTGTTCTACTAGGGAAACCAGTGCCATCTTTTTCAAAATCTTT